AGCTAGACGGTGCGTTCTGCACTCCCCGGAAATGTTTCAAAATCAACACAGCACACTGCTGTGTTTTAATACATGCAGTCACGTGACTTGAACGTTTCTCTGTGCGTATTTCGCTTTTCATTTTTGCTTTTGCATTCTGGGTGCTTGGAGTCTGAATGGCCGCATTGTGGTACACGATGTACAGGACCGTCAATTTAAATACCTACTAAGTCTTTTCAATGGGCCAGGGCATGACTGTGTAGAGATTATAACATTGTGTACAGTACCCGTACATGTACATGCAAACAATAATAATACTGGTGACTGGTGACTGGTCAATGCAATGTCAATGCAATGTCAATGGTGACTGGTCAATGCAATGTCAATGGTCACATCAATGATGTACAATGACATTACATGTACATGTGTAGTAATAATAATAAAACCCCTAACAACATCATTCGGCTCACCAAGTTTCGAGCTTTGACCGATCTCAACGTCCTGATCACTTGTAGAATGCCTATTGCTGCAAATTCTTTATTGTTGTTTTGATATTGGAGTTCAGATTGAGGTTCTTTCCTTTCTTCCTCTTCCTTCCCCTATTTCTTGTCACTTTTGGTTTTTAGGTTTGTATATTGTTTCACTTTCTTTTGCTATCCCACCCACGGAATTATCTTCCCGGTGGGACTGGCGTATTGCCTTCGAAAGGAGTGAATAAAGGAGACATGATAATAATAACTTTATTAGGATGACCCAAAGCTAGCCTATCGTGAGGTCCGCCGCATTGAAGGATGATGGTACAAGAGAGTACAGATTGGGGGTACTAGTACTAGTATGTTGCATGCAGGTCAGTGTGACTGTAGCCTAGGCTATGATGTGTACACATGCTCATTTAGAGCAGCTGAAACCGGCCTCTGCACTCAGTCTGCACTCAGTCTGCACTCAGTCTGCACTCAGTCTGCAGTCAGTCTGCACTCAGTCTGCACTCAGTCTGCACTCAGTCTGCAGTCCCAACAGTAGCCTACTAGGCTACACAGCTAGAGCAGTACACACAGGCATTCACATTAGCATTCGCATGATGTGATGTGAGGAGTGCATGATGCTGTCGTGCTACACCAGTCAGACCTCGCATAACCGCACACATCCGTTTTCCACAAAAGTATCCGGATAGGCGAGGGAACCGGATAATCGAACACACATACTGTATGCAAGCATGGCACTGATATGCTGTAAATTCGTAACCAACAATTTTCTTCCGGATGGCGAGGGATCCGGATAAACGAGGACCGGATAAGGGAGGTCTGGCTGTAGTATCAATTGATATGCGGCTACAACATGTCCTTCATACATATTGTGCATCTGCCACCTTGGTATCTCAGGCATGGTGGTGGCTGACACAAGCAAAACTTCCTTAAGCTGGTTGCGTTTCTCAACACAATTCAATTGTATAGCCGGTTGTAACACATGCATACGAACTTTACTTTACCGTTGTGCACTGCTGCCTGCTGGTGCCAGTTGGTTAAAACATGCCGTGCCGAATAGTACAACTATTCTGACCAGTGATACTGGTGTGACACTGGGAAGGATTATCAACAATCAGATAATGCACGTTTCTCCAAAACTTGCCACTGATCAGATATGCATGTGCCATGCAAGACATTGTCAAGCATTGGACACACACATATACACACACACACACACATGCACACACACACGCACACACACACACACATACACACACACACACAAAACACACACGTGCACACACACACACAAGGCAACTGGCAGCTGCAGTCAGCGGGCATGTCTTATCTAGCAAAGTATTCAGCTTGAGGGTGAACTCCTCCTGGAGGTGCTGACAGGTCTGGCACTGCAGCCTGAATTGAAGAATGAAGAGTGATCACTGGTGATTGCAAAATAATCGTACGCAACTACAATTGTAGTGCAGTCACCAGTCCTACTCAGCAGTTCTGACTCTATTAGGTACAATGACTGTATGAGTATGCCTCTTCCACTGTGTAACCCAGTGCCACTTACCTTACTCAGTAGTACCCGGAGCCAGCAAGGAGTACTAAAAAGGCAGTGTAGCCTACATTGTACGGACACGCCAAGCCTCTTGCGTGGCTTGGCAGTCTTGCCCAGTTTTCGCCCAACAAGACAAGTGTCGATCATCCTGCTGCATGTCACATGTCACATGATGTGCGTAAGTGTGTGTGTGAGTCAACGCATGACGTCATGACCATGCAGCAGCAGCAGCATGTCATTATCATAGTACATGGCCAAGTCCCTATGCACCTGTCACATGCATGTCAGGTCATTCACATGCACGCGTCTAGTAGTAGTAGATACCACTGGCCGTGACTGACCACGCTGTCAGCATGCAGGTCTGAGGTCTGGCACTAACTCACTGTCAGCAGATAATGCAGCCTTACCCCTACCACTATCAACCATGGGAAAATAGATACAGCTAGTCGATAACAACATCGACACATGCCGAAGCTCCACGGGTGGTGCATCCATAATCTTCAGACTACGCACAGGGCAATGTTTACAAAAACAAAACAAACACTGGAAAAGCAGACAGTGGTATTACCAGCCAACACAACCTTCTACTCGTACATGTTTGACGACAGTAGGTTTGTTGACCTACACACCACCTGGATAACATGATTGTATTACAACTAACAGTTACTTTAGCAGCTTATGCCGGATGCCTACGAGCCCAGTAGTTGTCTTGTCCTACGAGTCTAGCTACAGATGCAGTGCCTGCTGCACTTCAAAGATTTATAAAAATCCTTTTGATGTCGGAGTCGTTGCATTGCACAGCACACATGCTGAAGCACAAAGGCTGTTACACGTCACACACACACACACACACACACACACACACACACACACACACACACACACACACACACACACACACACACACGCACACACACCAGGGGCGTTGGAAGGTATTTTAGTGAGTGCGTTCGATTACACACTTGAATCGATTCATGAATCCATTCGCATGCATTCAAGTCGTTCGATTTCATGTCATGAGCCCTGGAATCGATTCGGAATCCATTCACTCTATTCATAAGGGGTGATGTGAATAGCGCGAATCGATTCATGAATCGATTCGGGAATCGATTCGCGTGCATAATCGAACGCACTCAGTGTGGTACGGTCAGCCATCTGAAGTACAATTTACTCGTGAGGGAGTGGTGGCTGAGCCGAAAATTTCGGAATTTTAGATCCCAGATCAGTGTATTTTGTTGATTCACGGGGTATCTGGGGCAAAAGGTGGTACGGTCAATACCGTAGTGACCGTACCGTGTGCGGCGCCCCTGCACACACACACACACACGCACACACGCACACATACACACACACACGAGCGCACACGCATACACACACACACACACACGAGCGCACATACATGTACATACTTATTGTTAGATTGCCAGCATGAAACAGGGCGGAGGACACTGTGTTCGGAAACAGTGACCTTACTACAACCTTCCGCGGTTGGCAGAGCCCCGAACACAGTGTCCTCCACCTTGTTTCATGCTGTCAATCTAACAATATGCGTGAACTATAACAAGGTTGATCTAATACTAGTTCTGAACAAGTATTGGGTTATATTATACCATGTACATACCATACTTCCATCACCATGTACATACTGCCATCACCATGTACATACTGCCATCACCATGTACATACTGCCATCACCATGTACATACTTCCATCACCATGTACATACTTCCATCACCATGTACGCCTATGGCAAGCGAATCATGATTGTCTCCTATAGCGAAGATAGCAGACAGTTAAGTTAGGATCTGAATGTTAGAGGTCAAGGCTACATGTACTCCAACACTGGGTATAACTGCGGTATATCTGCCTGGTCCATATGATCACTTCTGTACACCTAGCTGGTCTACAGCACATGGAATACGATAATAGCAGGCGCGCCGGAGCCAGTACGGTTGGTCAGGTCATCACCGGACCAACTTGTTGTCCACCAACTCATGTTTACTGCTGAGGAGGTTACACGTACCCATGCACTATATCAAACACAAGGTATGAAAGATTATGGTACGGCCGGACCAATCAACAACAGTGCTTCCGGCGGTCCTGGATACGATTGATTGATTTTATTTTACTTCGCAAGTTCAAACGGGTTCCTGGCCCAGTTATATGAAAGCGAAGGATAGAATTTGCCAAAATCCTAATGAGCAACAGCATAGGCAATATTACCATAGAAGTGGAGTACTATGCGAGCGAGAATACTGAGAAGAAAAGGAACACGTCAAAACCTGACGAAACACAACCTATTTCAGGCATACATAAGGAAGGCAGGCTAGCTTAAAACCTTGCAATCTGGATACGGTGCGCACCTCTCTAGGAAAAGTGTTCCACAGCAATGCTCCTGCGGTGGCGAGGATACAGTAGTAACCATCAAGAGAGTTTACATGTACGCACCCCCTACACGTATGACCGGCGGAACCATCAAGCTGCCTAGAAACAGAATTGTAACGGCACACTCTCCAATACCTTGAAGGAAAATTGGAGAGTTACACGTACTTTACCAAGCAGACTTGCAACTGAGTACTCGTACGCGTAACCCAGAGCCAATAGGCATATCAGCAACCCCCGACCATGAACGCTATCACAGTAACCCCCGCACACGAATTCTGGATCCGAATGAGTCCCATTTCCAAATGCTTAGCCCGTATACTTACAGGTACACCCACAGAGAGATTTACTGTTCAGCCTGGACTCCAAACTTCACGCGCAACTATACGTTTCTTTAGCGAGTCAAGTCGACGTAACCATACGGACATTACTAGTACACCATGCATGCACAAATAGCGTTACCACATCCATCGGAGCTTCTGCAGGAAACAAGGGGGGGGGGGGGGGGGGGCAGGGAGTTAACCACCCCCACATGGCCCTCACCAAGCAGGGCCGTGCGCAGCGTGAAACAATACACACGGCCACACACAAAACTCAGCTTGGACAACGGCTCATAGGGTCATAATGAATGGACTATACGTGCACATTGCGGCAGGGAAGTACACATCACCAACAACGAACGCATAACAATTACGGTATAATCAACTCCTAATGGGTGGGTCATCATGGTCAAGTAAACACATGATCCCCCCCGGCTGCTAGTGAGGATCTCTAGAACAACGAGAACGACAAGAACGACAGAATAATAATAAAAACTGAAAAGGGAGTAACAACAAAAAACAGAGCTATCGAGTAAAGGCAAAATACAGGACGGACAGAATAGTGAAGGTAACGGTAGCATATTGGCGTTTGGGAGAAAAGTAGAAATATTTGGCATGCGCGCTACTGCACAAGTGAGCCATGGGGAGGGGACGGTTATCAGGACAAAAAAAAAAGAAGAAGAAAGACCTAGCATGATGTTATATGCGATCATTTGGCAGTGAACAGAGCCACGCTTATAATGGGATGAAGTAACAAAACGATGAAAAACGATAGCTGCTGTGTCAGATGAATACGTGCCCTTGTACGTAACTGTATCCATGATGGGAACAGTACAATACCGTCAGGCCCTAAAGTCTAAAATAGTATGTCAACCGAACTAGGTGAATATCATGTCATTTGAAGAGAAATACGTGCACAGAAATATGGTTCCTGTCCTGATAGAGCAAGCATACAAGCAAAGAAATATGGTCGATGTCCTGATAAAAGGGCAGACTTGTCAGAGGGGGTCAGATGAAGGGATCAACTCCTACACAGCACAAAAGCAAAAAAACCCCAAATAAGACACCAATGTTGGAGGTTTAGTACGACATCTACTCTACAACCAGCATATCCTTTCTAAGGTACAGTATCACCACTGGCTGGACACCCATCTTACATATTTATAAGACAACGGAAATCGGCACAAACAAAGATAGGGAGTCAAGGGCAGGAGCAGTGCTCGCTTCCAGTTAAACCATCAATCGCCTACACGCAGCCACATACTCGTACATGTATTTAGCAGAAACCGGAGGTTTTTCCTCTGGTGAGAAGGCAGAATTGCCTGTGCTCTAAACGAATTCAAATAAAAGAAACAAACAAATGTATACACTGGACAAACCACAGAAGCCCTCCAACCGACCCAAGTCCAAGCAGTGATGAACCCTTTCCAGGAAGAAGTCTCCCCAGTCACAGGTGGCCAGGGTAAGCCCAAAGCAATCAACACGAGAACCTCCCACGCGCACACACACAAGAAAAAAGCCAGAGACGCAACTCCAACCCCTACACCATAACTTCACTGCCTATACATGTACTCGTACTCAAACACATCACCATTTCATTGGCTAGTGCCACGTGATTGTGAATAAATAATAATAATAATAATAAAAGTCTGTGAATGTTGCAATAGCCATAGCATAGATAATATGTGGATGCAATGCTCGTGTTCTCAACATCCAATTGACACAATGTAAACCAGACGTGCTCTTTAGATGTCAACTAAGCGCCCTATCAGTTCTCGCTAAACAAGAAAAAAGGGAATTCACACCCAGTGGGCGACACAGATGTCACACCAGGATCATAGAAAGAACAGCTTGCACGGAAAGAGTGTCACGCGGCATGATTGCAGATGCCCATCGCACCATGTACAGTAGTACATGCATGGGCATACTGTAGTGTAGAGAAAGAGTGTCATGGGGCATGATGGCCATCACAATCATCATGACTGTACAGTACAGTACAGTACAATGTACATGGGAATACTGTAAGGCTTTCAGTGGCCGTCTGCACTCCACACTTGTCAGTGGCCGTCTGCACTCCACACTTGTCACTATTATAATGAATATTATTAAAATGAATATTATTAGATTAAAACTACAATACGAGATCTGCTTTCTTCCCAAGCCAAGGGTAGCTTTCCCATCACACCCGCACACATGCACTGGTAATCCCTGCGGCACACATCATAGGGCGATACGGATACACACAACGCATCCATGTGTGTGTGTGTGTGTGTGTGTGTGTGTGTGTGTGTGTGTGTGTGTGTGTGTGTGTGTGATGTAGGCATGTAATACCACACACCCCTGATTGACAAATCTATGTGAAACAATGGCCCTGCAGGGAACCAAATATGGAAAACATGTTTACACATACGCATGCCTCTGGCTGGCATCCAGCATTATTTACGAGCTTGGACACTTCATTATATACATGATGACTTCTATGAATAAGCACTCTAGCAGCTCATCAAGAGAAAAGAGCTGTGAACACAACCCTTATTTAATCAGCAATGAGTCAGCTAAACGCAAATCCACTGAGCTCTAGCAGGCAAGCAGCTCCAGTCTTGACACCAGTTAAAGTTTGGGCACTGTTTGGGCATTGTGTTTACACTACAGCAGAGCTAGAGCTAGAGTGCAGTGTGGGCTCTGGCTAGACATGTACATGTACATACATGTAGTCTACTTGCCCCTGCCATACAGCATCGGTGGTCCACATGGTTGAATGTTTATATACAATCATGTACTGATACCATACATGCCATAGCACTGAACACCAGGCTACAGTCAAACACACCCGTTACAGCGTTAGTAATAGTACAAGTACTGCATACTACATGCAGTAATTCTTATTTGCCCATGCTATGGCAAGTGATAACACCTGTCCCATGCCAGGCATGGCACAGTGCCACACACTTGTTTCACAGGCACAGACACATGTGCATGTCCATTCTGGACATTCTGGACACTAGCTAACGTTAAACTGGGATGCAGAGTCAGGCTGGAATGTCCATGGATAGCAGCACTGGCTATGAAACACATTATATTACATTACATCTAAGCTCACTATAAACACTGTTGTACATGACGGATCCAGCAAGGGATTCTGCTGCCAACAAAGTCTGAGTCACAGTGAACACTACAGTACTGAGGACGGTGACTGTGTGACTGTGTGAGTAGAGATGACACAAGCAGAGCACTGAGCAGTTTTCCTGGGCATGCTGACAGCACTCACTGACCCAGTCCCATGGATGGATAGTGCAGTGCAATGAAGTGAGTACATACACTGGTGCTCAGTAGTGGCCACAGCACTGCCCCTTGCCTTAAGTAGGGCCTTTAGTGCTTTACTCATAGTCATACAAAATGTCATTGTACCCTTTACTCATACTCATAGTCATACATATGTAGCCTTTACTCATACTCATACAGATGTAGGCAGTAACCAGTGCTAACTGTCAGTAGCCAGTTAGCAGTGAGCAGTGAGCTAGAAGAACAACGTCATTGCCACTGTGCTGGTGCACCGGTGGTGTTGTCACTGTTGAGAGAACAATCCAACAATCCACACTGCCAGCCCAGGAATGAACCAGTAGTCATTGCCCAATTATTTCACGGACACCAGCTGAGCACACCACTTGACCACTTGACACAGTGCACTTGAGGAGTACACTTGAGGAATACACTTGAGGAGTCAAGCATGAAAGGATCACCACATCAATCACTCAGCTGTGTCGCTGTGCTGTGCTGTGCATGCATCGGACCACTGCACTGTGGCCCATACGGCCATAGTGGGCCATACAATGATACACTATTATCAGTAGAACAAGACAAAAACAAAATGGCATTGTGTCGATGATACTCTATGCATGCCTGACAACAGGTATGCATTGCTGGAACACACTAGAGTCCAGTGAAACAGCGTGCTTTCTGTCACCCATGGCCCAGTACAGTACAGTACATGTACCCGTGTCCGTGGTCCGTGGAGATAACCAGCCACTGTGTCCTCATCAGGATGACTTTAAGGAATCAGCAGTAGGAAGACAAATATTGTCACTGAGTAATAGCACTAGCAGGGTACTAGTAACTGCTCAAGTGCACCATAGGCATAGATAGCAACAGCCAACAGGACAGGATTTTCCCTCCATACCCACACAGCCCATACTCACACACGTGACCTTCAAGAAGAAATACTACTTATCTGCTTTCCCCCCACACCGCAACACTGGATGTTGACAGTCAGGCCAGGCTGGGCCAGCTTTCAGTACGCAACAAGCTAATACAGTACTTCTCTACTGAAGTTTGTGGCTCCTCAACAGCGGAAATGCCAACATAAGGAGCCCTTGGTACAATGTTGAGGCAGCAAACACACACACAACACAGAACTAGAGCCTAGGCTCTAGCTGTAGGAAACTGGACAATGACCCAACTCTAACAACAAGCATAGCATGGAAAGTATGGAACAATTCTAGTATTCCAGCATTCCTCCATACATGCACGTGGACGTTAATTTGGCCATGTCAATCTGCTTCTATTTCGTTCTAGTTATCAGAAGAAAAAATACGACTGCCACAAAGACAGTGCCATCGCCATCACCATTGTGTGTTCTAAAGGTTACGTTCCAACACTCCAGAGTGCGTCCAGTACAACAGCGACGATACCGGCAACACACCGACAGTAGGATGTCAGGTCATCAGTCCCATCAGTCCCATCACACATCACACATCAGTCCCATCACACATCACACATCAGTCCCATCACACATCACACATCAGTCCCATCACACATCACACATCAGTCCCATCACACATCACACATCAGTCCCATCACACATCACACACATCGTCAGAGACTACTGTAAACCGCCCAGTATCTAGAGTTCATATAGTGTTATGCATGCTTTGACAAGTACTACTGAACGTACCTATGCTACACACCACACAGAGCACAACACGCACGCACGCGCATGCACGCACACACACACACACATTAGGTATTGGTTGTGCATATTCTACCGATAACGCTACAGTGCACAGTACACACACACACACACACACCACCAGAGTTATCACTATGAAGACTTTTTTAGTCCAAATAGCGGCTGTTGCCATCATACAGAACTGAGTGATCTCTGCAACATCCCTACAGGCCAGATACAAATACAAGGGACACGCACTCATTGTCACTTGCTTCGTTAGTCGCCATACCGCCACAAAGCCGCTCACCCATGATGACCGACGCCTCTTGGCAATACCTAGCTCCACTAGGCATTGTAGCTGCTCACACATGACCCATGAGGAACATCCCTCTGCAATGTCCGACTGGCAACACCGGGCGTTGCAGCGGCCCACCCGTAAGCATGCCGCCTACAGTGTATGTCTCCACACAGCCTCCCGATGATGACTACCAGGGTACTGGTGTACGATAACGATTGGCAGCCGACCTCAATCCGAGTAACCCTGTCTTCCATTTTGTTTGCACCGAGGTAATTCTGACCAAAACAACACTAGCCTGGCCCCATGGTGCCTTCGGTCGATTCTATTGCAACCATTCAGATGGCTAGCCGCCATTCCAGAGCCGAGAATGAAACACACCTAAGTGTATCGAGCACACGAGTTAGTAAGGCTGCTGTACCTTGCTTCCTCTAAACGTATTACTTTACCATGTGATGTCATACAACTTCGGCAAATTTCAGGAAACAGGCTGGATATTGAACACGCACAAGTATCCATGTGTGTGCGTGTGTGTGTGTGTGTGTGTGTGTGTGTGCATGTGTGCGCTCGCTCGCACGCGTGTGTGTGTATGTATATATGTATGTATGTATGTATGTATGCATGTGTGCAAGCGCGTGTGCGTGCATGTCTCTGACTTTCAGCAAATAGCTAGATGATGGGGTAGGCTGGGAGCAACTACTCGAGTTTCAAGCCACGACAAAAGCAGAAAAGCACACCAGCTAAGTGTTGTAGATACATCTGGAGTAGGGGTGAAACGGTTACCCTTTAAGGTAACAAACGGGTATCTGGCTTAACGGGCGGGTTATCGGGTACCCTTTATCCGCCATACGTTTTCCAAAAACGTTGCATTTGCTTGGGATCGTAAGCGTAACATGTCTTTTACAGGCATTCTGATAGGAGAGAGATTTTCGGGCAACAATTGCTACAGTGGCCTTCCGGATTTCATGCCAGGAGGATATGCGAAGTCATGCAAGTACACTACACCGCGACAAGCACAGCGTGCACAATCACTGCGCTACATGCAAACAGTCAAAATTGTCGTAGCTACAATGGATACCGTGATATGTAGCAGGATTGAACGAGGAAAAACACACTCAAAACTGTGCACTGAACTGTACAACTGTACAAGCAGGCTTCTAATACTGTACCCTACAATCCTACATGACTATCGGGTACTCGTTTGCTAACGGATCAGCAGCTAAACAGACGGGTACCCGGGTTACCCGGATCACCCCTTTCGCCCCTAATCTGGACTCTAGTAGAGTCGTGGCCAAAGAAATCTGACCCACGAGACAAAATCAGTGCCGCATTTCCATTTCAATTACGTCACGCATGTTTCAAAACCCATCCGAGGGTCGCAGGAGGTGCATGGGCCTTGCCACTGCTCTCACCTCACGGGTCAGGTTTCTTTGGCCACGGCTGTAGTAGTTGTTTGATATGCCGTAGCATCAAGATGCAGCGACAGCAACTCCGAGCAAACTCATCAACTCATCATATCATCACATGCTAGAACAACAGTACACGAATCTCCAACTCGTGTCTACACTCACCGTAACCGAGATGGCTGGCTGGCTTTCAGTATCACCGAGCGAAGACACATGTCCACCTCCTCCAGTATGGCCCGCTCAATGGCAGCATCCGTAGCATCCTACGGCCAAAGAAACGAACAAAATAAGATGAAGTGTGCGAGAAGGAAAGGTTACGAATCAGGCTGGTGCCTCTATGATTGTCAACATACGGCTGAATGACTTTGCTGGTGAAGCTCAGGCCGTTGACACAGGCAGAGCTCATACAATAAGAATAGTTACAAAAATCATGCTTTGTGTGACACTCAATTGTTCGACTGAGTTCTGCATGCGCAGGAACACCACCACTTTCTTGGATCAAAGCGCAGATGCCTGGATCCTAGAGGGTGGTGGCGTAAAAAGAAAGAATGGTTAGAACTGGACATGATAATCCTGGCCTGGCACACCTAACCACTGTGTTACACAGTACACCTACCTGTTGAGCTGCCTGCTCTGCACGTTGCATCCAACACTCACACATCGCTGTTGTGACCTCTTCCCGTAGCATGGTGTACGGTAACCTGACAGAAAAACAAACAAACAAATGCACATGTAACGACAACAGCAACAAAAGCAGCAGCAGCAGAATCAACAACAACAATTAGACACCCCCACAACATGAAATCAGTGTCTGCTCTAGGATTGTAGGACAGCCGGGTACACGTGTACCTGGCGCAACCATTTCAACCGGGTCGGATCGCGGAGCCGGGTACACATGTATTCGACGCGCGCCTCTGCATGATCTGTCACACATACTTATAAAGAAACAACAACATACAAGCCATGTAGTCAGTCCTTTCCAAGTTCGAAAGTGTAAAAGTACCAACCGGGCCACAGGTGACCCGGTACTATATTTTCAACCGGGTCCAAGCGCCGCCCAACCGGATCGATTACCCGGCTCACCCGGCTCTGGAGCAGACACTGGAAATACACTGCATGCACACACTGCAGCACACCTGGACACCAGCACACGCACACTGATGGCGTGATACAAGTCCTGTACACGGAAACATCCTCCTGCTCCGGTTTTAAGCACCGATGAGGAGCACTTGTACACCCAGTGTAGAAAGAAGAAATAGAAAGACAACACAAAGAGCACAGTCCCACTGACCTTTGGCCAGACGCTGACATGCTTGTCAGAGGTGTTGCATTCTCTGCTTTGGGCGTGGGCAGGTGCTTGCGAGCTGCTGCGTGTTGTTGCTGAGTCCGGACTTCTGCAAATCAGAAGAGAAACCAAATGAAACGACATGGGGTCAGAGAATGCAGTAGTTTCAAACTTAGTACCAAATGCTGCTGCACAAACGTTGCATACTGGCACCAACAGTTACTTGTAACCTGTATGACAATAGAGACACTTCACAGTAGAGTGGTTTCACATCTTCCGTCATGTGACTAAATTTTTGTAGAAATCGATCACAGCGTGTGTACAGTAGAACCAACATGGCCGACATCATGTGACCCATAGGTGCTAGGGTTGAGTGGAGTTGGAACCAACATGGTTGTCCCGTATGGTCATGTGACCCATAGGTGCAAGGGTTGAGTAGAGTTAGAACCAACATGGTTGTCCCGTATGGTCATGTGATGGATGAGAAACCACTCTACAGTTCATTATAATGTTTCAGACACAGACACACCATAAGTAAGACACTACAGAAAAAGACCCAGCAAAGAGGGTGGAATTGCCCCCTACAGCTCTACAGCTGCAAATGACTAACAGGACTTGAACAGATAATGGTTCAGGTTGCAAACTACTATTTCTTTGAGTACTGTAATGTATATCCTGGCCAAGTCACAAAGTGTAAGTACAGGTTCCTGCACGAGTACGAGGGCAGTACCGCGGAATCCAGCCCGCGCCGCGATAGCGGCAAGGGCTGGATGAACAGCGGTACTGGCCGAGTATGAGTGACTGGAACGTATTTCCCGTGTGCACCCAAGCCAAATAAAGAGATACATGACAGACACACCTGCATTGTGTTTTGTGATTGTTTTCTGGTACAGTTTTTTGTAGTAGTCCATAGTGCTTTTTTTTCTCGCGGTGCCATTGACATTGTCGACTGGGCATCGGGCATTCTGGCTGTTCTGTTCCTACGGATTTTTCCCACGTCTTGATCGGAAACCTCGGCAAATTGCGCGGATCCTGCAGGTTGCTGAGCATTGCGCGCTTTGGTTGAGGCTCATCCGGCTCGTCCAAGATCTCCTTCGCGAGCGACTCCGCAATAAAAGTTTCAGTCTCTTCCTCAACTTTTCGGAGGAGCTCATTCGCATCGCCAATATCGTTCAACAAAGGGGCTTCTTTTCTCCCAGTTCCAGATCAAATGTTGGAGCGCCATGATGACAGTTGTGGTTGCAAACAGTCGCTCTTCTGCTTTAGTTATTTTATTAGTAACCAATGAAAGACCTTGAAGTAGAGTCAGTCCAGTGGCTACTGCCAGTACTGGCACTGCCCGACGGGCAGTTGAATCCGTTCCTGCCCGTCGTCAAGTGACGACGGGCAGTGGAATCCGTTCCTGCCCGTCGTCACTTGACGACGGGCAGTGGAATCCGTTCCTGCCCGTCGTCACTTGACGACAGGCAGTGGAATTCGTTCCTGCCCGTCGTCACTTGACGACGGGCAGTGGATCCAGTTCCATCACCTTTGAGCAGGCAGGACCGCGCTTTCCAGCCCGCGCTGTTTGATCTGTCATTGGTCAACTCCAAGGCGACAATCACGTGACATACGGGAATTGTCATTCAGCAGACCACCAAAGACCAGGGGCCAAACAAACTCTCCCAAGTTCACACATTTTGTATGGAATAAATGAACGTTGCAGGATACCACCCTTGGTCTATAGAGATTTCATTGAAAAAATACTAGCTGGAATTTCCTACATCGAGACATCGCATATCATTATTGCAGGATGAGATGACTTCCGGAACACACACTTGACCTGTAGTCCCTTCAGTTTCTATTCTTGCTACATGTATGTGCACTATCTGGAGTTATATTTCAAAGTACATGGTGCTTAAGCTACAAAACTCAAAACAGTCTGCATTTCCACTCTAGAATGTTATCGAACACTTGAATGTTCAAACTTTCCTTTCATCCATGCCCAATACTGAGGACTAAAAGCTGCACTAGTTCTTCTTACCTGCTGCCGTGGCCAACTGTAACAGTGTTTGCCGATCAGGACTCTCTTCATAGTTCTTGCACTTGATACACTTACAGATGCTGGTGCAGGGAATGCGCGCCTGAAACAACAGCACACATAACAGATAACGTCCGGCTTTCTGTCTCCCTCTCCATCCCAATAAAGCCTCTGCGGTGAGATACGTGCATGCTTAGGTTTGGCAACCGTTCACTACATGATCCTTTCCTCAAATCAATGAATTTACTACATTCAAAGAACATCTAGTGACTCTCATCACACGACTACACTCTGTACACTTGTACAACATTGCCTTTTTGGTTATGCTTTTAAAAACACAATATTGATCTACCTGAACACCCCCCCCCCCCCCCCCCCCCCCCCCGCACACACACACACACACGCAAGGCGACAGTACCACAATATTATTTATAATATACATGCAAAGCTCACCTCATAACATTCACAGTAGTTCTTCAGGCAGCCTGATCTCCTGCAGTGACAGCCTATCGGCACACACGTACGCACACACACACACATGGACACACACGCGTGCACACACACACACACACACACACAGTGAAGTGTTCAGTGATTTCGATGGCATGAGTACTATTACATTAGCTTTTGTTTCCCCTGCCCCCCCCCCCCCCCCCTTCCACACTATTTTCCTGGCTAGAACCTTCAACATGGTACCAGTGTGAGCCGTCAATGAGAGGTGGGGAAGTGTACAGTACCGATGCGAAGATGGCTCTCTTTCCAGGATAGCACACTAGCAGCAGGATCGCTTAGAATAGGCATCCCAGCGCATGCACTGCGCAACCAGTTTGCGCAGGTGAGATGTTTCGATCTCAACTGCGGACACTGCACTTTGTCAAGAAAAACGAAATTATTTTACGAAAAAAATAAAGTCGAAGAAGAAACAGGAAACGGCTGAAAGTTGCGTCCAGTGAGGAAGTTGCAAGGCTTACCCGTCAGTAACATGACGCAAGGCAGCACCGCGGCCACATCAAGACGATGTCTGGCTCTCCACTGCAATACACAAGCTGTGTACGCCAGTGTTGTATTCAGCTTCTAGCACATAATGTTGGCGTTCAGCAGGTGTCGCCCGTCATAAAAAAACGTATATCTACATTAACGTTTACCATATTGAGCGGCTGCCAAGCCCTGCCAAGCAGTGTGATTTCCTTGGCGAAGCAAAGCAAATCGTACTTACACACCTTGGTGAGCAGCTCATGGCATCACAGAACCTGACGCTCCACCGAGATGGTACGACCAGACATGGCAAAAAGTACTATGGTACACACATGTCTACAGGCGAAGGCACTTAAGTTAGATCTCGGCCTTTCACAAGTGAAATCAGGGTCGGCACAGCATTGTTTCGATTTGGTGCTGGACATGGTGCGAGACATCGAGACAGCGACACAGAATGCAAGTTACGCTGGTCCAGTGTTAAACCAAATAGTCACACACATCAAAACACTATCTCCGATTGTGGCAGCGTAAGACGGTGATTCCTAGCTTTGTTGCCGCCTGGAGTGAGCTCCCTGAAGATGCGAAGGCAAGGTTGGGAGAAGTTAATAACTTCTACTGCGGGCTGCATTACATTGTCGGGCTAGCAGAGCAGGCCCAAGAAACTCTCCGTACTTGGGAGAAGGCAGAGTACACAAGCAGTGTTGGTGCAGCAACAGCAGCCAGCTTCGACACTGGAGAGCCTGGACCAGTTTGACTAGTGCGTACTGCTTGCAAGGCACTTGAGGCACATTGCAACGAGCAAAGCGGCAACCATGCCCAGTTCAAGTCCTACCTCGAGACGCAGGCATCAGCACAATACCGCTGGAAAGGTTTGTTGGAAATCGTTTCAACATTTTGTTCTATAACAGCCAGCGTCACCACCCCCAACGTAGCAAGTGAGCGAGCATTCGCCCAGCTGGACAGGCTGAGCTAAGAGAATTTTCACTTTGGCATGTTACTAATGGCCAAGATAGCGTAATGCTGCACTATCATAGAGGTAGTCCTACCCACGCAACCCGCTCAATCACAGTACATAATTCTCTTGAGTACCATGTTTACATACTTGGAAGTAAAGGTGATCAAGAATGGCAGCCGAGTACAATTTAAAATACTTTAGATGATATCAAAGCAGTGACGAAAGAATTAATATCTGACAAACTCTGCAACGGAAATTCCCACGACCAGAACAAGGAATTAATGAAGAGCCGTCTCGATGGAGACACGTTTCATGGAAAGGATGGCACCGCCTTGGCAGTGCTAGAAGAGAGATGGGTTCCTGGAAGGTGCATTCGCACATCTGTGTGCCCAATTGTGATCGAGACTGGAAGTCAATGTGGGGCCTGTAAAGCATTCTCGGCAACTCTCCGAAATGCACGGTCACGACTATCTAACCGCACAGCCGAAGACAGAACTTCAACAGCATACACATTTCTCTCCCATGCAGGGTTTTCCGAAAGGCTTCATGATTCGCAATCACAAGGTTGCACCATGAGGAAGCACATATCCAGGCTGGAAGAACGCCATGAGCGAATGGCTGAAGTGTCAAACAGCAATGAATATGCATCCATATTCGGGGAAACTACAGGTTGGAATGGCTGCACTCAAACAAAAAGCAGACTATCCACACTGCCAATGGAATAGTTACAACAAGAAATGTTCCATGCAGAGCTTTCTGAAAGGCTTCATGGTTCGCAATCACAAGATCGCACCATGAGGAAGCACATATCCAGGCTGGAAGAACGCCATGAGCGAATGGTTGAAGTGTCAAACAGCAATGAATACGCATCCATATTCGGGGAAACTACAGGTTGGAATGGCTGCCCTCGAACAAAAAGCAGACCATCCACACTGCCAATGGAATAGTTGCAACAAGAAGTGTTCCACTATCTCAGAACTAATAAATTAGTAATAGTTCATATCAAACAGGTCCACTCAGTACTCGGCTGGACGCATGGCACCGAAAGAAATTGTGGTACCTGCTTGCTGTTGTGTACCCTCATCACATGTCAAATGCTACGGTGTACTCCTCAACGCGACAAGACCCAGTCAGCACTGTCTGTCGCAGACGTCGACTGCTCTGGCTGGGTCATGTTGTTCGCGAAGGACCTAACTCAGCGTCCTACCAAGCACTAGTTCGTACGTAAAGTGTGTGGGTACAGTGAGGGCTGCGTTTTTAGCAGAGGTTCAGCTCCATTAAAGAGAGCTAGAGGTACATTTAGTCTTACTGTCATAAACGGGCAGCACTGTCCTTTCCGGGATGTTTCCTGCAGCAGCCACACCACCATCGTCATTATTTCCACGGATATCCTCTTCCATTGTCAGCTCCTACGTCGTCGTTATACGTACATGTAGTTAGATGGTGGGCTTAGAGATACATGTAGAACCAGCTCATCAAAAAGAACGACTTCAGCACTCCAATAAAAACAATGCCAAAATCCCACAGAAAGATCAAGCTTCGCGGGTCAGGCGCGTCGATTCGCGTTCGACCTTTCGGACTGGACTGGACTAGTCGAAAACAACGTGTGCGAGGCAACCCCCGAGACACGAATTCCCGGGCTGTGTCACCTCCCTGGTTTGGGTACGACTCCCTGTTGTACATACATGGTGAGTTCAAATAAAGTAAAAAGCTGCCGTTGTTGCTGCTTCAAAAGTCAAAAACAACTACAAGTAGACTTGTAAACAGCTTTCCACTCGCGCTTTCTAATTATTTATTTATTTGAGTGAAAAAATGATCGCGTCAGGCCTGCAATCAAAAGTGCAGTCGCCATTTTCTAGTGGTGACCGCGAGCTCCACTTGACATACAATGACGCAATCGCGAACTGGCTGCGCAGTGCATGCGCCGAGATGCCTACTTAGAACACCCAAAACACCATGGCCCACACAAGGCTTCATGCAAGCACAAGTTGTGCACAGTAAGGCTAGAAAGACCGTTTACTCAATTACTCCAGATCTGTGTGTTTTTGTTCGCTTTCGTTCGGTCACAAATTACACCATGCCTCAGAGTTGCAAGTCGCATAGCATCCGCACTCACAAGCAGTGCTCATAAAATCTGTACACGATGCGCTGACCTCTCGGGCCAATCCAGCTCTCGCTGGTCACTTGTAATGTTGCCAGGAGAATAGCAAGTGCCACTTTTAATATGAGAATAAGTTTGTTGGCCGAAAGGGCACGTCACTAGAACATGCTTACCCTTTGTATGACGTCTCTCCTTTTCACCTTGGCGTTTCGTCTGAATTTTCGGGTGGAACGCATGGGGATTTCTCTCCAGACAAGCCTGAAAAGAAGCAGGGCATCAATGCAGAGTGCAGCCAAGTCAGGAAAAGACAAAATCAGCAACAGCAGAAAGAAGATGAAAGGGGATGGGGCCGGATTGTTTCTGTAGAGGATGATACTCGCCGCCTCACTCTGCAACAAAGTCATTGGACGAACATGAGCACCGTGATTGTACTCAGTAGTCGATCCATGCCTGCTCACCTTGATAGCAGTACTGCGATCAGCTTCATGCTCCATGCTGTTGTGACAATTGTTACAGTTACAGTTGCTGCAGAACTCTCCATTGGCAAAACATTCACAGTAGCTACACACACACACACACACACACACACACACACACACACACACACACACACACACACACACACACACAGACGCACGTGCAAACACACATACACACACACACACACACACATGCACATGCACACATGCACACAGGGCAAAAAGAAAGAAGGAAAAAGATTTAGGATTCGCCAGGCATGGTTGGCTGACCGGCTGTTGTTCTGAGACCCTAAGGACAGCCAACTCTCCCAGGATCTTTGGGATCTGAGTTGGGGCGTGAGCACCTTGCAACCCACCTAGAACCCATTGCTATTGATCTTCATCTGCGCCACATTGAAGACAATAGGAGTGTGTGTGTGGGGGGGGGGGGGAGAGAGAGAGAGAGAGAGAGAGAGAGAGAGAGAGAGAGAGAGAGAGAGAGAGAGAGAGAGAGAGAGAGAGAGAGAGAGAGAGAGAGAGAGAGAGAGAGAGAGAGAGCATGCGTGTGTATGCGTGCATGTGTGAGTAAGAACAAGCAACTTACAGCTTCAGGCACATGGATTTAGAGCAATTGCAAGGCTTTCGCTGTCGACCTGTCACAGCACCAGTCTCGGAGTTTCTACAACATGGCACCATGACAAGAACACGATATCAGCATAACGGGTGCGCACAGAGACACAACAAAAACACTATATCAGCATAACCACATGTGAGCACAGAGACATCAGAAGACAACAATTAATATAACAACACAACTAGTCATACATACAAGCACGCAACAAAGCAGAGTAGCCCGTCGTAGCACACGTTTAATAAGGGAAAGGATTATCACACAGAGCTCACTACGGCTGCAATGCAGACACTTACCCTCGTAAAGGAGGAGCTGCTACTGGCTGCTGAGCTGTCGATGTCTCAATTTTAGGAGGGAGAAACGGATTGATTCCACCCATCTGCATCAACACAAGAGGTAGGTGCATACATGTACCAATCAGCATACCAAACAAGGATGTATATTATATGTATATTCAAGTCCAGGACAATAACTACTGTGTTTTACAAGTGGTGAGTCAACCTCGGTTACAAGTCGACCCCCCCCCCCCCCCCCCCATAGTGCTTGGGACCTCAATACTCCAGCTTAATCTTACGGCTGCCAGTCGACTATCCCCTGTTTAGTTCGGCGTTTAGGTCATAAAAGGTCAACTTATAATCGGTAAAATACGGTACACGACTATGGAATACGGAATCATACAGTTGCGCTGAGTAAAATCCAGCCTTAAGTGCAAAGCTGGCACCTTGGACCAATTCCAGGATTCAGCCAAAGCGACATAGCATGGCGCTACGCCCTCTTTAAAGTGTTGACTCCCCCCCCCCCCCCCCTCTTTCAAAATTGGAAACACCATTGTACAATGCGTAGCTTATCAATACAGTCAGACCTCGCATAACCGCACACATCCGTTTTCCACAAAAATATCCGGATCGGCGAGGGAACCGGATAATCGAACACACACATTGTATGTATGCATGGCATATGCTGTAAATCGGTAACCAGCGATTTTCTTCCGGATGGCGAGGGATCCAGATAAAAGAGGACCGGATAAGCGAGGTCTGACTGTACACCCCTTTCCTGCAATACGGCGTATGCAAAAGCATTGGGTGTAAGCACTAAAAGGTAGACCACTACTGTGCTGGCTCATTGGGGGTATGGTCCAATTAAAGTGGCATTAGGGCTATATTATTATCATGCCGGGTCCAATTTGTAGAGCGACGAAGATTGGTACAACTACGCACAAACTGCCTCTGGCACCCACCACCCCTTCAATCTCATGCTGGATACAACGTGGAGTACCAGTCAAATCCATGAGTGCCAAGTACATCACTGTAACTGATTTGTATATTTGTACATGTGAACGTCTAGCAGAATCCATAGTTGTTTTAAATACTTTTTTCGTACCACTTCCAGCGCATCTAGACCATGCATGTCCAGGGTGGCAAAAAATGCACTTTGGGTGGAATATCGTCAACATACCTGCAGCAAGCTGTTGAGCAGCTGGGTCTGCGCCATCACATTCAAACTGGCAGCGGCGCCGAATGGCGGTGCGGGAGCAATGGGAGCAGGATGACTGATGCTGCTCTTGGCTGGCTTCCGGGAGTGGCGTGGAACGGACGCCGTTCCGGCTGCTGCTGTCGTCGATGCTACCGTTGGGCCCGCCGTCACCACTGCACTTGTGGCTGACAATCCTACAGGTGGCGGTGCGGACACACTTGACGTTGTCGCTGAAGACAAAGCAGCAGTAGCGTCAGACAATGTCACTGTAGCTGCAGGCAATACCTGTGGTGGCGCCGACTGGCTAACTGAAGTGGCTGGAGTGACCGCAGGGGTCAGTGATGAGGACTGACTGGATAGCTCAGACCTGGCCTTCGTTGACGGGGCTGCCTTTCGAGTTACCTGGGAGATGGGAAAGGGGAAAATACAACATGCCATTCTAAGTTCAAAGCACCTACAAAAGGGAACAAGTATCGTTAGGGAACTATTGCTCTGGAATGTAGGTGTATCCCTCCCCTCCCCCCCCCCCCCCCCCCCCCCCCCCCCGTTCACCGCAGCATTGTATTCTGTATATATATGATTCAGTTAAATTTAGTGTTCAACATACCGGTAACATTCGGGATGGTGACAAGCTCATCCCTAACCTGCACTATACTTTCAAATAATTTGGCATGACTTCATTCAGCGTGTCCGGGCTGTCTCCAGGTTGAGGTAAACTGGTAGCACATGTCAATTCTGACCGTAGGAGCAAGAGGTGGTAGAGACCTCCTGTTTCAATGAGCTCGACATAGTGAGGACGGTACTCACCTCCTCTCCGTTGTCGCAGGTTGCGGTAACTTCCTCTATAAAACTCGGATACGAGGCGTGGCATTACCTGCGGACTGTCACCAAGCTAGATCCCCAGCTGAATTTCGCTGCCACATTAAACACACACCTAGGGTTCCCTGTCAGAAGGCGGCCCCGCCTGTTGGGAGTCCCCTAGTAAAAAATAAGATTCAATAATAATAGTGGCCACGTGACGTGCAGAACAGGACGGACGGACGCTATCAGATAGGCATCCAGTTTTCACCACGTAATATTTGAATGACACGAAGTCTGCTCGCAACTCAGGTGCCCCTGCGAGATCAACACTTCTGTTGTTTCGACTCGCCTGAACTCCCTATGTATAGAGTTTGATCGACAGAGCGCTGCCGTGCGTTTGACAGATCGGATTAGTGGGTACTTTATTGAGATACCTACATGGATTTCACGGGAGTCAATAGTGTTGATTTCTCAGCGGATCCGAATTGGCGGACAGAAAACAGTACCTACTAGCATACTGTACGTGTACATCAACACAACAATTCTGGATTCCTGGCAGTGAATGTAATAGTACTGAGCACATGCACTTGTGCCTTTCAAAAGTCTGGTTTCAGACTATGGCTCATGTGTTCTTAGTTACTAGTTTTATGGACGACATCCAGTATTCCACATGAAGTCTTTTTTTTCTAACTCTCCACAATAGGGTCCTGTCTCACCTGACTTGTTGGTTGCTGATCAATTGGTGGCATAGGTGGCAAATTGATCAGAAAAGACAGCCCGCCTCCGCTGGATGTGGGTGTTAGGGCAGGAATGGTCAGAGGAGCACCAGCTACCGGCGTTGATGATGTGTCCATCGGAATAGGCGATGCAGTTGTCACAACGGGAGCAGATGACCAAGAAATTACTGCATTTCCAGAGAGACTCACTGGGGGAGTTGTGGTCGGTGCTTCAGGCTCAGCGTCTGCTCCATTTGTGGGTAATTGCGACATCGCCTGTTCTAGTAACAACGGTGAGTAAGATTGTAAGAAAAGTTAGCTGATTGGCTTACTAGTATCAGTAATGCGCAGGTTGAATTTCCATTCCATCAATTCTCTCAGTGAAGATCCAGTGTTCAGAACTGCTACAGAAAACTACTGTGTGTGAGTGTAACTAACTTCAAGACAAAGCTTCCCGACGCTGTCGTACATCGCGTATTTTTTGAAAGGTGTATGATTTTTGGTCGTCTTTCAAAAATCAAAATTTAATTAATTCAAGAATATTTTCAGTCCCAAGGTTACGCATAACGCGCATGCGCTCATGACCAGGGAGTCGTAAAATACGACTCCCTGTGCATGTACATTGTAATTATTTGTACAGATCGCGCAGTGAGTCGCCACTGCACTGACAGACTCAGTTGTTTTTTTACTCGATGCGGCACAGTACTCACTGGAATCGGAAACGCCCAGGATTAGGGGTGTGCGGATCATGCTCGAAAAGGTGGCAGATTCTGCTCGAAAAACAGTGAAATTGGCAGAACCATACAAACCTTATGGCGGGCAATTCCTCGAATTCTGCTCCAATTCTTTATCCACATACCAAACATGCATGAAACTTACCAGAAAAAGTACCGAATTCTGCCAATTTTTCTGCCAGCATTATATTATCCGCATACATTGTATGCCTACCCAGGATGGGACGCGGAGCGACGCCTACTTTTTCCACGTCTTGGGCCGGGCTTGGCAAGGGATCATAGGGAGTCGTCAAATAAAATGGTCTCGCCAACTCAGGCAAGACTCTTCAAGAAGGTGCTGAGGGACATTTTTCGAAAGTCCAGTAGATGTTACTGTACTGTACACTTCTCCGGTATGCCGGGACGAAAGCGAGTTTTCCTGGATTTTCCCGGAAATCTGGTAGGGTTGGCAAGTATGCGTGGAGTCTTGGCCTTATCAAGTAATATTATTATTATTATACGCATTCCCGCGTTGAAGTGTAGCAGCAGTATGCTGCGTCCACAGCTTCGCTTATGCAGAATGGCTTGGGTGAGAGGAGAGGGGAGAGAAAGCAACAAGGCAACCAACATCTATGAAATTGGTCACAATAACATGAAGAGAACCAACCTACATACATGTACGCATGATTGCACAAGAATGGAGACGACCAAATATAATGGCTATAAATAATCATTGTGCCACAAAACCGGTACACAGGAGATCTGACGACAATGTAACGAAACATAAAACTCAGTTACTCAATACAGGTTCCACTAAATTACAAGAGAACAACGCTACAACGTTAGAATTGCCGCTAAATTATCGCAAGTGTAGAGAACGAGTCCAATACAAATGAAAACCATGAACAGACTGTCCCGAAGTTATTTTGGGAACAAATTGTACTACATGACTGTACTTGCTGATACTGACGCTGACGGAACACGAATTTGAGTTGAATACTCACGAAGTCTTGTACATGCACATCATTATGCGCCGGTGTTGTGGAGTAAGCAGGTACGTCAGTCACCAATCCAGCTTCAGCTCCACGCTCGCTTCAGCAGAATGTTGCCCGCGTTTGCTTTGCCTCCACACGGATAGACGACCAGCGCAGAGTCCCGCAGCTCCGTGGCCGTAAGGTCTTGATATTCGCCGTTAGCGCCGTCAAGTCTCAGTCCACCTCTCACACCAAGCCGCCCTATAAAAATCTTTCTCTCTCCATTGGAGTGCTCCCCAGTTGCGCGAGGAGACTAGAGAAATTCCTCCGGTGAGCGAGGAAGAAGAGCGGAGTTACCCAACTCAACCTAACAATATCAACCTATCAAGTAATAAGTATTACAAATAGCGGAGTCACCGTGGGGCCTCCGGATCGATAGAGTGCTCAATGCGGAAGCAGAGCAGTAACACACGAGTCACAGGAAAACCACGCGTCTTGATTGTCGTAACTTTTAAAAGTTTCATGCCATATAGCAATCTTCAGTGAGTTCAGACAACTGATTACGGTGATGCACAGCTAGTATGGTATTTATACAGCAGCATAGGAAGGAATCTGTGAAGGTTTGAGGTCTGGTGGGTGCAAAAGTCCTGGATGGAAAATGTGCCAAACTCACATGGTCCGTGAGTGAGAAAAAAATGTGATATGGCAGGAAGGCAAGCAAGGCTGTGTGAAAGGATGATAATGATAATGTAATGTGGCTTGCCTGTAATCACAATCATGCAGGTGCAAGATGCCACACACTTTGGTAAGCGCTTAAAATAAGTTAAGTTGGAGGAGGGGAGATACTTGCTCTTCAATGCACCAACAAAACAGGTGCAAGATGGAAATTTCCACGCGCTGTGATGGCTATAGGTGCTTAGAATGGGCGAGGAACATGAAAAGAAATGACCACGATGACGCGACGTCAAGCGAGGCTATATGCAAGATACCACACCCATAATTAGAAGGGCTGCAGACGGGTGCAAATGGCTGTCGCGCGTCATGTAGCTGCAAGTCACGTGACTCCGTACCCACCAAGCAGGAACTTGGCAGAGTGCCTGCACTTTGATACGAGCTCCGTTCGCTTATTGAGGGAGGTGCTGCGATCGGATATGCTGATGTGATATTTCTCTGCGATACATAGGTTGCAACGCTTGGTGACATTGGTGTAAGCCCGTGCACGTTCCTTGATGGACCAGCCAATCTCATTGGCCTTGTTCTGGCGTTTTAGGCTCCAGACATACTTTGCCAGCTCCGTACTTGCTTCATACCGCTCGTGGCGCAGCGACGTCATATGATTTCCATACCTGGACTTGAAATCCGGTGCCGACATTCCAGTGTATGTCTTCAGGGCACTGTCCGACGTTACTTCGGCCTCATACACCACATTGGTCGACTTGCATTCACCTTTCAGTGGACAAGATGCAGCGACTCGGCAGTTGCAGGGGACTCTCTCGTGCTTTGGTTGCATCATTTTCTTGTTGTGGCCTTTGATCCGCGTTTCCATATTAGGCATGCAGCTATAGCCGACTTTCAAGGTGTTTCTGTTGAAGAGCTTTCGCAGTTTGGCGTTCTTGGGGAAATGCTTGCTTACTAGTGCGAGAAACTGGCCTCCGATGTTTGTCCTGACATTGGCGCTATACGGAGGATTGAACCAGATGATGTCTCGCCCGCGTTTCCTCTTGCGACTTGGCTGGGTGTTCACATCGTCGTACACAAGCACTCTGGGGTGGCCACTGGCAGCTAGCGCGTCGGCGTACTCAGGCGCGCGGCTTCCTCAAAGACTTCCTTTGAGCTGGAAATCATCGCCAGACGCTTGTTGATGCCAACGGGTAAGCTCTTCAACACCTGCGGTGGGTGGTTGGACTTTGCGCTTACGTAAAGCGGAGTGTCGTTTGGCTTACGGTATGGCTTGAACGTACCGGATTCCAGGCACATGGTTATATCCAGGTAGTTGACCGTGCGCAGGTTGCTTTCTACCGTTATCTTCAGGCCGCACGACTTGAATACTTCGATTATTTGTTTTCTCACTCTGTCCGCTACGGGTCCACTTGCATCCTTCAGCACTGCAAGTCCATCGTCACGGTAGAGCCCCACCGACGTCCAGTCCAGGTGCACAGCTAGCTTGTGGAGGATGTAGGCTCCAACAACTAACCACAAGCCTCCGCACCGTCGTATGCACCCATGGTAACGTCAAACATATCACCTCGGTCTTTCTTAGACCATGCCTGACCCTGGGCAAATAGCAGTGACTTGCGGGCATGCATAATCACATTCATGTCGTCGTCGCTGACCTGCACATGCTGCTTAGCGAATTCCAGGGCGTCCTGCAAGAGCGACTTCGTGATCGACGGGTAGAAATTGACAATGTCAAATACTACAAACGTATGGCGCTTTTTCTCCTCTATGCTCTTGAACCAATTAGTTACATCGGCCGTGCTTCTCCAAAGCATCGCCCCTGTAGCGTCACGGAGCTGCCTTGTAATGTTGGCTAGGGTGCTCTTGCTGACGACACCTAGCTCACTTTTTGCTGGATTTATTAGGCGGCACGGTAGGGCACGGTGGAAATTCTCTTTATGGTCTTTTAGCGTTATGACACATTCGGCCTTGGCGAGTACCTCCGTCCTGTCCGCTATGTCAAGTCGTTCCGCGATTTCCCTTGCCTCCAGGTTGATTTGACTGTAGTGTACGCACCAGGGAGTAGTACAATACCGGTATTGTACTACTCCCTGGTACGCACCCTCCGGTGCATGCTGATACGTCTTGGTGATGTTGTCGTGTAACAGTTTTTTTGTAGTTATCGACCGTTGTACTATACAGGTTGCGCGTCTTGTCGGCGGGTACTATCACGTCTGGCGAGTTGCTGATACGCTGCAGGTCTTTCTTCATCTTTGCTTGGAGGTCATTTGTTGTCGCTCTGAAGCTAACGTTTTCGATCATTTTGTACAAATCCTCCTCAAACGCCTTTAATTCTTCCACCTGCGGAGGGCAGTTCTTGGTCTTGAAGCCAAAGGTGTTGCGTTCCGGCGCCTTTACATCGCCTTTTGCAAAGATTGCCTTCCACCGCATCCTCTTTATAACGCTTTCCACCTTCTCAATTAGTCGTTTCCGGTATTCCTTGGCCGTTGGCATCGGGATGTTCTTGAGCGAGTATCCCAAGTTGATGCGCGTAGGTGCATCCATCGTCTCGAACCTAGGGGAGAGAGTGCTCACTCACTTGAAAAGTGAGAGCAGGCTACAAAGATGATTTCCAGCTCAAAGGAAGTCTTTGAGGAAGCCGTGCCTGAGTACGCCGACGCGCTAGCTGCCAGTGGCCACCCCAGAGTGCTTGTGTACGACGATGTGAACACCCAGCCAAGTCGCAAGAGGAAACGCGGGCGAGACATCATCTGGTTCAATCCTCCGTATAGCGCCAATGTCAGGACAAACATCGGAGGCCAGTTTCTCGCACTAGTAAGCAAGCATTTCCCCAAGAACGCCAAACTGCGAAAGCTCTTCAACAGAAACACCTTGAAAGTCGGCTATAGCTGCATGCCTAATATGGAAACGCGGATCAAAGGCCACAACAAGAAAATGATGCAACCAAAGCACGAGAGAGTCCCCTGCAACTGCCGAGTCGCTGCATCTTGTCCACTGAAAGGTGAATGCAAGTCGACCAATGTGGTGTATGAGGCCGAAGTAACGTCGGACAGTGCCCTGAAGACATACACTGGAATGTCGGCACCGGATTTCAAGTCCAGGTATGGAAATCATATGACGTCG